GTAAAACAAACATTATAAATTTTATTAATGAAATATGTACTTGTATATGAAGCCGAAATCCACCTAAATAGATGTCATTTAAAAATTTACATCGCGTAAATGTTTTAAAGATTATAGTTATCAATTATCAATTTAACACCGTTCGTATTATGTATTAATTTTTTTTATTAATTTCTAAGATACAATGAATTTGTACCATTTTTTTTACTTCGGGTATTTTATAAATAGACTGACTTCATCTTGAATATATAAATTTGCGTTTAACAATGGATTTCAATGATTTGATTATGCTACGATAAGGATACTGAATTTAGAATTGTCTATTGTGCTTCGTAATTAATTCATTTTACCTACATATTCTAAATAAACAAAAAAATATTAAATACAAAAAGAAATAAATAAACACTGGTTTGCCTTAATTTTATAAAATCGAAAGGCAACTATAGCTTTGACTTATATTTCACAAGTAATTTGAATATATCCAAAAGAATTATTTAAAGCTTAAAATACTAACTACCTATAATCACATACTTGTAATTCTATTTACAGTGCTATATTTTTCTGAATAACCTAAATATTTCTAGAACCATATTGAAATTTTTAGGTACAAAATTTTATACCATTCATTTTTAGGTTTACGCATCACTAGTTCAGATACTCTACTCCAGTGGATCGAAAACTACAGTCTGTTACACAGAAGCGTTTATATACGCTTTATATAGCCATTGAACATTTTTATATAACAAGGAGACGTTGTCCTGTGTCGTCAAAGATATCATTCAGACAAGGGAGATGGGTAAGGGATTTAGTTTGTTTTAAAACCATAAATTATGGATTACAATGATTAAGTCCCTACTTCTGACTCTAATTAAGGCAAATCAATATAATATGTACAATGTACAAAACTTTAGAAATTTATGAAATTTTCACAAATTATATTGATGGTGCAACTTATCTGAACCACTGTCAAACAGCTGGAAACATCTGACATTTATGTATTTAAAACAAGCTTAGTAAAAGTAAACTTAAAAAAATGATAAAAAATAATTTTCATAAAATTGTATACAGGGTATATCCGGGGTAGTTGGCGATAGTTTTTCTTAAATGCTGTTTAAACAATATCTTCCTAAATTTTGTATTTATAATTAAACTTAAAACAATTGACGTTGAAATTATAATAACAAAAATAACAGTTTGTAATAAAATCACTTAAATTATATTTTCTTTTAAGTTGCGTTTGGTCAACTCTCCTAAAGCAGCCGGGTTCGATGGCCATAGTATTAGAAATAAGATTGCCATAGCCTTATTTTTATTTGCTGTATAGTTTTTGATCTTAAATATTGTTTTTTGACAACTTTTTTCCTTTGTACCACATTCAGAACACGTCTTCAAATTGAGTACAATTTGCATGAACCCAACACTCACCGTGCATTCAAGCCGGTCCACGTAGAAAGGAGTTTCTTAATGAATTCCTCCTCATCCACGACACTTATCTATTATTTAATTACTGCATCTACTACTAATCTACTCCAAATTAATTAACATTTGAAATCAGTCTAATCCTGCCATCCTGCAACCTTTCTGGAACTTCGTAAGCAATTTTTATATTTCTACTTACAGCTAACATGACTTACAGCCTACTGACATTCTCTTGTATTTATTGGCATCTAAAATAAAAGAGAAAATATTTTTCATTCAAATCCACACAGCCATTCTTGAGTTTTAAATAGTTTAACTAACAGAACTTGCTTTTATATGATCAGGTTAGTAAGTATTATTAAGTCATGCACTAAGTATGTTTTCTTTATGTTAATTGAAAAAGAATATAAAAAAGCGACAAGCATACTTGTACAAATACATAAATTGTTAAAATTAATTATATCTATCTAGCTCTTACGTCCGCGAAATATATTAAAACTTCGTTGAGGACGGGTCAACACAGTTGTATGGATAAAATATCATATAACGACTTTCTGCTAGAAAGTTAATTACTTGTGTAAGGATTGTTTGATCAGTAAAATATATTTCGTATAATATGTATGCTTTGTTAGGATAAAAGTGACTTTGTAGTGACTTTATAGTGGCTGTTGTGTTGTATGACTTGAAAGAAACAGGTTTTATTTTAATTAAATTTACAGAAGATTTAAGATGATATGTAAATAGATATGTCAATAAAATAAATAAATAAAATAAAAGATGTGTGTCAAAAGAGGTGGTCAAGCAACTACATTCTGTGGAGTTTATTGGGTATTATAATATATCAATCAGATTATATGAAAATGTTCACTTATAATTAATTATTTTTTCCTCACAGAAAGATTTTTGTGGTAGAACCTAGCTGTGGTCAAATTACTGCAAGTCGAACATAGCTGGCTCGACCGGGGAGGTACCACCCTCTCACAGAAGATCGGAATAAAGTAGTCTTAAATGGCTGCTTTTCGTCCGATGAGTTGAGAGCCGGTTGCCTATTCCTTGTTCCCATCCTTTCCTCTCCCAGTTTCCCAGTCTATGGCTGCCGGTACCAACTCCGTCAGATAGACCGTTTGCTCGTTTGCTCCCGTTTTCATACATGAATAAAAAAGAAATTACACTTTTGAACCCAAAAGAAATCAAAGGAGATAAGTAAAAAGGGAAAGTTCCCAGTTACATCTTTATATTTTGAAATAGCACGAGAAAACAACATTGGGTCTCTCTTGCTTACACTTGATGTATATCATCATTAAAATCGCTTCACCCACTCAAAAGTTATCAGGTGACAACCATAAAAAAATACAGACGAATTGATAACTTCCTCCTATTTGGAAGTGGGATGAAAAGACGATATTAAAATTTTAAATTTTTCTTTCGAAATCAAACTTTAATTTTTTATCGTAATGCCATCAGAGTGGATTACATATCTGATTTTTGGTTGTCTACATATGGGAGATATACCTTTATCCCGCATATTGTCAGTAGGACGACCATATTAACATTTTAATCTATACTTAATATCCAAGCATATCTCTTGCAAAATAAAGATATAATGACTTTGACTTTTGACTAACGAATAAATATTGGGTTAATTAAATTGGTAAATTATTTAAAATTATATTATTTACATAACAATTTAAAAGTTATGCCGAATCGATTTGAACTGTATTGAATGGTATAATAATTAAGTACTGCTTTTGTAATAATAAAAGAAGTTTTGAGTTATATTTGCATTAAAATAATATATGTTTAATTAACCCTTCATTAGTAAGGCTAATTAGGTAAGTAATTATTCAAATTATTAGCATTATGTTTTTAACAATAAAAGTGTAGAATAAATGCTTTAATTAATATGCAGATATCTTATAGCATGACACATTCACGACATGAACTGGATTTATGAGTACATCCTTCCGAATATCGTGTTTTAATAATTTTTCACCAATTAATCTTTTCTTTCCTGACTCGAGTATGCGAATTACCCAAAATCAATTTTTTCTACATTTGTAGTATATATAAAATATCTTTAAGATATACCACAGATATTTCATATCAATTTTTTTATCACTAAAAATATGTTGAGAAATACGATGATTTTTTGTTCCGAAAACATTAACAATTAAGGAACAGAACTGATAATTTGGAAGATGAAGAATATTTGTTCTTATATTACTAAATGATAAATGCTACAGTTTGTGTTGATGAAAGTTTGAATTGAAATATGAATGAATGTATATTTTTTATACTTTCATACAAAAGCGAAGGCCTTAATTTAAATAAAAATAACAAATAGATTCTACCTTATTTGGAAATTTCACATGGTACAAGCGCGAAGCCGATATAATGATGGTAAAAGGTAATGAAAGAAACAGTTTATGATGAATTATACTTTGAATATGATGTGACACATTGCTTATCGTCAATTTATAAATTTGTAAAATGATAAAGAGTTATAGGGCTTACAAACATTGACATTAACAAAGCTAATTAAAGTTTTGTATAATTCACAGAATTCAATTTTTATGTTAAAATATTCAAATCTCGATCGCTACCAAGTCAGTCGATAAAACGTATCGGTCAGAAAGAGACATCGAGATTGATGCAGTTAATTAATTGTTTTGTACAATTCACATAATTCAGTTTGCATTTTTATGTTAAAATATTCAAATCTCGATCACTACAAGCCAGTCGATAAAAGGTGTTGAACAGAAAGAGTTGTAGAGGCTTAGTGTAAGTATTTAATAATTTACCCTTGTTTTTTTTTATAAAAATTTCACTGTATATCATATTAAAAATCAGTCAGTAGTTTTTATGACTTACAAAATTTCATAAGATTTTTGGTTTAATCTTAATAAAAATTTATTAAATACCAAATTCATAATATAATAAATAAATTCAAAACCAATAAATTTAATCATTTTTCTTAAACTGAAAATGAAATACTTGTAATTTTGCTGATCTTCTGTATTTTTGTATGCTTTGATTTTTGAAAAGATGCTTAGAATGATTTATTTTAACAGTTTGCTTTAGGTTGTAAGGAACATAAAGCTATTAGATAAAAAAGAATTTTTCGTCTTTTTTTATAAATAAAATAAAATATTTAACAGAAAACAATCACAAGTGTCTCATTAAGTTGATGTTTTTTAAAACTAAATATCACTTGTAATTGGATGCATGAATAATAATTATAATTTCATGTAACTAATAGTAATAAATTGTATTAAATCAACATAACATCTTTAATTCGTCTCCCTAATATTTTTTAGTCTATATCCTAAATATTCGTAATAAAATAAAATTTATAGTGCGCTGCTAAACATCTCAGTTTATACTTCATAGTTATAAATATTTTTAGAACTTTTAAAACTTTACTCTTAATAACTGTAAATAAGTAAGAACGAAGAATACAGTTCCCTGCTAAATATGTATATAAATATAATTTTTATAAACAGGAATTTAGTAAAATATGAATTGACAATCAATTTATTTATGATTTTTTTTTTTAATTTTGTAGGCAGTTGCAATTCAAAATGCTCCTATTAATATTCGTGCCGATACTTGCACTTTTATTTTGGCTGTGGTGGAAAAGAGAGAAAAATGAAAATGAGCCACCCGAGTACGTTTTTAAGTTAGAATGGCACAAACTTCATAATGTTGTGAATGATGGCGAACGTAAGTAATCAAAATTAAAACATTGCAAATTTAATACGTTAGAATAAATAAGAATGATAATAATGTACCTATGTATGACTTTTATAAGATCTTGTTTATGATTGTAGATCTATTTTGCAATTAATAAGGACATTATTTTTTATATTTCCTTAATGAAACCATGTAAAATTTTATTATTTAATTACTAATAATTTGGAGTCTATTATAAATAATTTTCTTTACCATTACTGAATAGGTCTGTGGAGACGAACTAAAAAAATGAGCGCTGAATGTCTTAAACGAGATGGAACTATGCAAATGACAGTAGGGCCTCGGACTGTATATGGTAAATATTTAATAATAGAATTTTAGCTTGTGTCTTACTTTTGTATTTTGTATGTTATACCTTAATTAGTTTTGTATTTTTCTATTAGTATTCTTATGTATTTATTTGTATTCAATAATTTGGTCAACACATTTTTTATCCTTTGCATATTTTCAGTTATTACAGATCCTGATGACTTTTTGACTGTTTCAAATGCCTGTTTAGAAAAGGATCCATTTTACAATTTCAGCAAAAACTGGCTTGGTAACGGTCTAATCACTGCACCAAGTGAGTAATATTTTTAAGTTAAAAGTTGTAGCTTGTATTTTGAGTAAGTGTATATATTTCAATTATTACTTATCTATAAGTAAAAAAAAAAAAAAGTTTATTAAATATAACAATGCTAATGTTCAAGAATATAAATATTTTAATAAAAAAACGTAATATATTTTAGAATTACGTATGCTATATTGTTCGTGTCAATTATAAATTAAATACTGTATTCATGAAATACATTATGATACAGTGTATTGTGCGAATCATTATTATCGTTTGTTACCGTTTATATTACTGAATTTTCTGTGGTAACCGCACCGGGTTCTCCACTTAAAGCTGCTTATCAAAGTCTTCTGTGTTCCATCTTGATGTCCAATGTTTTTTTATATCGAGATTAAAACTGATTAAACCAAATCTAAAATATTTTTCCATATGATCCATTGATCATCTACTAAAAGTGATGTTTTTATATTTCTTAGTTTATAATATGGATGAGTCATAGTAACGTCAAATTATATAGTTAATGAGAGCTAGGACACTCTATAAATATCTGTTGTAATCGTCATTTAAAAATGATAGATAAATTGGAAAGCAGGGCAATTTAAAGAAATTATGAACTTAAAAAAATGTATTTTATTTCTCTTTTTTATTCAGTTATAATGAATAAAGAACTACATTACGGACTAGCCGCTTGAATTATGGAATTAATATTATTATTAATAGCAAAATTATATCTTTTTGTAACAGCGACCGAAATAGTTGCGAAGTGAAATACAAACCGAGATAATGAACTATTTCTAAGTAAAAAACTTGACTTGTTGGACGAGCTTTAGAAGACGAGTGACATATTAACTGAATTGAAAATTTATTTTTTCTTTATATATGTATGTTGCTTGGTCTTAAAAGAATAATTTCTCAAATATAATTTTTATGTTGTTAGCATTGAAATATATATGTAGTTCCAGTGTATAAATATGTATATTTTTATGAATTAATTACATATAATGAAATTATAATAGCGCACATAACTCTTCTTGTAGCTTCAAAGTGGAAAGTACATAGAAAGCTATTGAATCCATTGTTCGGTCAACGTTCAATAGACAGTTTAATAGAAGTATTTAATAATGTCTCTCGTCAACTCGTTGAAAACCTAGAAGTGGAGGTTGGGAAAGGTCCATTTGATCATTACCCCTATACAAGACGTAATGCTTTGGATACAATATGCAGTAAGTATTTGTTGCATACACAAATGATTAGAAAAAATGCAAATCAATTATTTATTTTTTAGGGTTTTTTTGTGAAAACATTTATGTTTATTTCAAATATATGTATATTCAATTCTCATATCTCTCATGACTACACGACTTAGAAGTATTATTAGACTATAGATCTATTGTGACAGCTTTGAATTATAATTACAGTCCGATATATTATTTTAAAGATTCTACAAAAAGATTTATAAAAAGAAGAATCATTTTAAGTTCTCTGTAAGTAACTGCTTGATATAACAATCATTTTTTAAACATCAAAAACTTGTTCCCAACATCTTTTGCATATATTGGTATTGGCATTATTTGAACCCATTTTATATGCTTTTTTCAGTGACTGCTTTGGGAGCAAAGTTTATGGAAAACACTGAAGTCAGAAATAAATACATACACTTGACAGAAACATTAATGAAGATTTATATTTCCAGACTGAAGAATTTTTTTTTCCATTATGATTTTACATATAGTTTATCCAGTTTAAAAAGGAAAGAAGACAAATGTACTGATACCGTGCGCACTATCACTAACGCAGTAAGTTTACTAATTATAAAAAAGTGGTCGTTATCATGTTTAGTTTTACGAGTACTCCAGTTCTTCAAATATTAGAAATGTTCTTTAGGAATCACATAGGGGTTAAAGTTTTCAGGTAGAAAACTGTCTTCTACCTTTAATAACCTGCAGGTATAAAACTTAACTATAGGCGCACTCTGGTGCATAAGGAACTCTCTATAGGGATCTTCAACTATTTCCTATAACCACCCACTTACGTATATTCTCAAAGTCAGTTTTTGAAATGGAATGCAATTGTATCTGAATCTTTGACTTCAGACATATAGTAATGACGAGCGTCTAGGCCCTCAGTCCCTCACATTAAAATAACAACATTGAAGTTGACAGACAATATAAAAGAATATTCCCAACAACAAACACCCCGTTCGCCGGTAAAGGCAAGGTTCCTGTTTATATACATCATGACAGATCTGCTGTTCTCTTCCCACTTCTGCTACCCAAGGACGAAGTGTTCCAGATAATAAATTCCCTAGTTGTAGTGCTTATAATATTAAAAATAATAAGAAGGGGGACAAAGTATTCTATTGATTTTACGGAGATTGAAGAATTTTTAGATGAAAGATGCCAGATAAGAAAATCGTTGTAGGTAAATATACTTCAAAATTTATTAGCTCTCGATGTATAAGGTTGGACAGCTTATAGAAACCGAGACAGAAAGTCAAGGAATAATCTATTGATATAAATTACTTTCTCCGACTACGCAATAGAAGTTCGGTACAAAGTTTATTTAAATACTCCAAATTCTACCAGTATATCTATCTACATCTGCATTTCTTTTTATATTGTATTACAGTAGGTGTACAATGTACATTGTTCTACTTTATATTAGGTCTGTTTTTGTTTGTTCTATTAATAATAGCGTCTTCAGAAGCAGTGATTTTTTTCTTTACCTTAATCCAATGCAGCCTTTCTATTAGTTAGCCAATTATGTAAATTAAATCTGCACCAACCTCAAAAATGTTTAATATTATTATGTATACAATTATTTTAGATACTTAACCAAATCAAAGAAGGCTTTAAGAATGAAGATATGTATTCTAGTACGGAAAATAACCAATCACAAGGTTCAGTATGTCTCACTTTTGTTTTTTACTTCTTTTTATAACACATCTTAATGATTATTCTGTGTATCTAGGTTTAAAATTTAAACCATTTATTAGAGTACTTTTGGAGATGTTCTCAAATAGTGATGCCTTCACTGACAGTGATATTAGACAACACGTAGACACATTTGTTGTGGCTGGTGAAGATACTACCGCTGGAGTTACTATGTACTGTATGCTTTTAGTGGGTTCTTATTCACAAGTACAAGATAAAATATACGAAGAGTAAGTGTTAATATTTTTTAATTCGTTCTTAACTTACTGACTTGATAATACTTTTGAAAGTAGAAGGACGTCAGAAAGCTGTTGACATTGATGGCTACTTTAGAATGTAATTTTTTGTGCAAAATCATCAACTCTTTTTTGTTGTAATATCCAACAAATATAAACATTAATTAACCTGTACAGTGCATTTGAGGATCTAGTCTAAATGGAATAAAATATGTTTTTTTTTCGTTTTGACGATAGTTACAGTCTTATATAATTTTTAAATTAAGTTATTTTTTATCGCTCAAAGTTTTTGTGTTTTGTATTCTATTATAATTAATTTATCTCCTACCGATAATTCACACATTGAACTGAGAGTCTTGGACTGACATTGGACAAATATCTTTCTTGGACGAAATCGTCAAAGTTAGTAGTTAATTTCATTGAAATATTAATTTTGTCAAACTTTAACAGAATTGCTTGCCCACACATTCTAAACTTACAATAACACATTTCTTTGTTTACATCTTCTCGCACACACTTGCGAAATAGGATGCCTCAGAGGAGGTTCTTAAAAATTTGCTCGTTTTCAAAATTTATGCATCTTATATATTTTCGAGCTGAGTGAGTTTGACCATATTTCAGAATATCGTCTTCAACTTAAGTGGATTCATTTTTTTTTGCAAAAATACACATAGCAATCACGTAGTATAACGCTTTCCAAATTCGTCTCCCTCTATCTAAAAGAGCTTTTCATGTGTAACTCAACTAATATATAACGGAATACATGCAGGGTGTTTTTGAATTTAAAAATTAATATTAAAAAAGTAATACCTGTGTCAACTATAAGTTTTAACTATTATTTAGTTTCTATTCTTATTATAATATTAGAAAGTAGTTAAGTAGTTATTTATAGTAAATTATATTTCACACACATATATTCATTGTTCGTGTTTTAATTCTTAATTATTAGTATATGGTTTGATGTGTTGCTTCCTTTATTTTATGAAAAAAATGTAGAAAAAATTTAATTAATATACTTTAAATCGATTTTGTTTTTCTTGTATGAAATAACTATTAACTTCTCCTTTTACTTCATTTTAAGGATAAAGGACATTTTTGGTGATGACGAAAGAGACGTAACAAAAGAAGATCTCTCAAAACTAGTTTATTTAGAAGCAGTATTAAAAGAAACTATGCGTTACTACCCTATTGTTCCGATAATAGGACGACATCTTGACAAGGACGTTAAATTACGTAAGATGTGTATATTTTATACATAGAAAATGAATAATTAATTATTATTAACGTTTACAAATGCACGAAATTTCTGAAAAGATGTTGCAATGAACTAACCATTATTATTTCTTTCAGGTAATTGCACCCTATCAAGGGGTCGGACTGCAATATTATCCATCTATGGAATACATCGACATCCAATGTGGGGTCCAGACGCTGATGAGTTTAAACCGGAACGGTGGCTTGCTCCTCTATCAAATATTCAAAAAATGTTTGCTGGGTTTAGTATGGGTCGAAGAATTTGTATTGGTAAATATTGACATAAAATTGTCCTATTTTCGAAGGTTTATGTAGTTCTACATGATGATATTATTTGATTATCAGGCAAAACATATGCAATGGCGTCATTGAAGGTCATAATGGTGCACGTTTTTCGAAACTATATTATACATAGCGATCATACAAAGTGTACATTTGAGTTGGATATCACGCTAAAACCTACTTCTGGGCATCACATAACAATTGAGAGAAGAAATAAAAACCAACGAAGTGTTGAATCCTCATCAAGTTTAACTTAATTTTACATCTTTTAACTTTTATATAACTACTATACTATTTACCCATAGGAAATGTTGTTTGTTAGGTTCTTTGTGATGATTTTCCAGAGCTACCGAGCTAAATCTATTTGAATGTAAGTGTATAAATTATTGTTGAAATACAATGGCTACTTTTTGAGCGCCAACTAATATAAACCGGTTCGGAAGGGAACCGGATTGGTAATTAATAATAAATTTTTTAGTTACTATTTTTATTTCATGCATTTATTGAATATCAACCTTTTAGCGTATGTAACTATTTCAATATTATACACACACACACACACACACACACATATATATATATATATATATACATACATATGTATATGGACACCCCTGCTTGACATTGGAAAGGGCCCTGTCGATGCTATTTCTCTGGATTTCGCTCTAGAGGTTTGAGAGTCAGACGGCAGTCGTCTCGGTAATAGGCAAACAAGCCAATAAAAATGATAGCAAAGGTAAGTGATAATAAGTATATATATATATATATATATATGAATATAGAGAAACTCAGGTCTATTAATACGAAAATGTGTTAACAATCATCTACTCAATTAAACAATTACAAAAAGGTCTTTTGTCTCCTACCTTCAAAAGCCTTATAAGCTTAGTTCTTTTGCTCGTTCCAATCACAATCTGTTTACCATCATTCCCTGTAACTGAGACACTTGCTATTCCTTTTTTCCATCCTATCTCCTCATTTGTCAATTCAACTTATAGACTATCCTCGGTCTGCTAGCCTATGAACATATGAAATAAAATATAGAAAAAGTCATGTATTGATATAGTACATTAAATATCCACTTCTCCATGAAGTATGACGTTTGAGAAAGACTAAGAAAAGAAAATGCCATTGTTTCACTCTTTACACGTTGTGAAGTTCAACCCTGCCTTCAAACTAATAGGACGTTTAAGACGGTCTCCAAGAAGTGCCTAGGTCTATAATATGATAGACGGGAGAGAGCACTGGATGCATCAACGGAGTTTTCAGGCTTCGCCTGTACTTCCGAGGGGCTTATGTGGATAACACCGCCACACTAACCAGTCTGCCCCACTTAATATCTTAACATCTTTCCCCGTCATAATCTTTGTCTATAGCTACAACCAGAATGCGTACGTCCCGATGATGGATCGTTGCCTTACGATGAGCTGTCGCAGTGACAATCACATAACTATCTCTAGGTTAGACTCTCGGATAGCCACCGTTCAGCTTTATTCATGTTGCCCTAACTACTTCATTTTAGTAAAAGTTTCTCAGAGAACAAAAACGTATTTCACATACTCGTAAAATAGTGTTATCAGCCGGCAATATCATTTCAAGAAGATGCGTTGTCGAATCTAATTCTTTTCGAATCACAGTAAAAGAAAAATAGAGTCGTATTCTTTGTTCTCTTTTGTACCAAACAAATTACCTATACCAAACAAATCTTCTATTTGTAGAAAAACAATCAGGTTTCTTTTTTATCGATTTTTTACAATCAATGTTTTTTGGTAACGTTATGATAGGTTTTATGCCTACCCTTCTTTTAGGTAAGACGAAGATGGTTATGTTCGATTCACGGGCCAGAAGGCCCAGTGTTATCTCCACTCTAACTCTTCGCCTAGAGAATCGACAAGGAAATCGACGAAATCATACGTACAATACAATCCGGCGGCAGGTCGCCCCTTTTCAAGCTTGGCCACCTACTGCCACCCGAACACTCGCTCCAAGCGAGCGTCCTCCGGCCTGGTGGGCTTGATTAATTGCTAGAGGGTTAAAAACTTACCCCTCCTACCCAAGGCCACACAGTCAGTCTCCATCCACCCATCACCGAGCGCAAAGCTTCTTACGGCAGATAGAACAGAAACTGGCCACCACACAACCAGGACCTCCGCAACAGTCTGAATTCCAAAGCCGGTCAATCGAAGCACTCCCCAACACCGTATTCTGAATGAAGACCTCAGGTCACATATCTCCCTCCCCTATCCCCTTTGACACCCAAGAAACCACCCTGTGATATTTTATACCTGACAAGGCCTGGCGCGATATTGCACTCTGTCTATAAAATATAATACGAGTATGTTAATATAAATATCAGACTTTTCTATTAGTATTTAATAATTACTTTTCTAAAATTTAAATTAACATAAACTTACATATCAGATGTCCGTTGTTTCAGATTATAATTTTAAGCTTATTATTAATTACCAGTGAAATACTAATACAAATAATAAGAGAAATGATTAATGAATGGTTTTCAAGCAGAAATTTTAAAGAGTTACGATTAGGAGCACAGCTGTGCAGTTACGATGGGTGTCAACAGTCATGTAGCAACGACCGCGAATGATTAGCTCGTGACAGCAGTATTGTAATTAATGTATTGTTAAATTTAAATTTTGATAAGATAAAGCGGTTTTTGTTGAGCTACAGAACGAAATCGAAATATAGACGTGAGGTATTGACGATAAAATTAACCATGAATTAAAGTAAACTTAAGAAGCCAAAAACTCAAGAACTGATTCTTATATAAGTTTTAATGTACATAAATAATATTAAATTTCAATAATACCTATCAGTCTTTAATTTTATAAGCGTATGAAATATATTTTTATCATTTCTTTAAATGCATAATTTATTAAGAGCAAATTTAAACGATCAGAGGATACATTACTTTAGTAATTACGCCCGTTTATAATGATTAATAACTTTTTATTGGTATAAATTCAATTTCACTCTATATTTGACTATAAAAACGGGATCCTTCATTGTATAAAATTAATTCTTGATTCTTATACTTATTTAAGAAATTGCTTTGAATATGATTAACGATAAGTATTCTTAATTTTGTCTTGCTTTTCATAAAATATTCAGGAGACTTTACATCAACTTTTACATAATATTTACATTAATTCATAAAACTATCAACAATTAATATCTCAGTTAAGATTTGCTAAGTAGGAGCACCTTATAATATTTTTTATAATTACACCGTGTAAACATATTTGCCTTCACTTTTTTAAAGTCATTCTACTTAAAAATAAAATTGTCCAAAAAAATTACTCCCTCTTTAATTTAAGTCTTAAACATAATTTATCTGGCAGTGTATAATTTTTTTTATTGAGAAACAGGTAAAACAGCAATAAATAAAACTGACAAATCTGTTGCGTATGCACGATATATTAAACATCAAACGAACATAGCCAGCAACATACGTGAAAAAATCCGATTTATCATAAAAGATATGTATACTGAATGTGATATTTTTATAATGATAAACATAAAAGTAAGTTTTGCAGTTCTCTTTGAACAAATGGCGGCTTTGCAACAAACCCTATATAATTATAAATAAAACATTCATCTACTCTAAAAAATAAAAATGATCTTTAACTTATGTATAACATTATCAAAATAATTACGTAACATATTATTTCTAACGTTTTTATTATATATAAAACTATATTGAAAAGAAATATGTAACACAGAATTAATTAATTAATAATATATATAAGAAAAAACGTGTCTAAGACAATTTATCATGGCATCTCGTGTTGTTGGCAACATTTAAAGTCTCTTTCAACTTGTAGTGCTGACCCAATCGTTATAAACTAGCCGTTATATACGTACTGTAATCCATTTGAAATTATATTAATGGTTTTAATGTATTTTTTTTAAGTTTTAATGCACGGCTTGAAGTGTACCTTAAGAGAACGGTAAGATTTTAACATACAAAGTAAGCACTATAGTTAATAGTAAATTAAGCACATATTTTTAGACCTTAACGGACAGCATTTGTCTGATATAATTACGCATTGCACACCATTGAATATAAGACTTAAGATAAGTTTGACTTTAAATTGTTTTGCATCGCTAACGATAAGGATCACCGTTTTACTGGGATCAAATTAAAGCCTAAAAGAGTTAATTTATCAAAATATGGTTTTGAGATCTTATTATATCAATTAATTCTTGAAGACCGTGTAATACTAAATTAATAAGCAAATCATCACTGAGGGAACTTATAAAGATTGAAAAAATAAAAGGAATTAGTACACCACTTGCGATATACCAGATTCGATTGTAGTTAAGTCAAAGAAAGTACCTCTTAAAAGGGTTTTTTGTCGAGTAAGTATGAACCAGTCACGTACTGTTTAAAAAAACGCAGGGCTTACAATCCACAGTACTAATGAAATAATACATTATCGATATTAATTAAAATCAATAACGTAGCGTTCCAAAATTCCCTGCCAGTTAATTCCACCGAGGCAGTAATCATGTTATAACTAGTATGAAAGTTGTTAAGATACTAAATTACATATATTTAAATATATATCGTCAATATCAAGCTGACCTAAACAATTAAATCATGACAGACTTGTTCAGTTTGAAATGTGTTTAACTGAGCCGTCCTTCCATTCACGTACTTCGTCAGATACATACACGAGAATTGTGCCACATTAACTATATATATAATTCTTACTTTGTAATAAAAACGCGATCACTTGCGGTAGACTTTGAGCTCAATTATATATTTTTTATATAACTTCAAAATAAAATTTATCCATATTGTCACTACCTTGTCTTATTTGAGACCAAATAGGTCTTTATAAAAAATTCAATTCTAAAATCTTGTTATTATCTGCTAACTAATGTGTTACATATCCACTTCAATGTTTGCTATAATTGTAAAATGGTTTTACAATTGTACATAGTATACATCTAATGATATATTTAAATATCATTGTACACATACAATTCAATAGGTATTTCAAGTCATCCTAGGATTTCAAAGTTTATTTTATTCATAAAAATAAGCGTTTGTATTTATTTAGAGTTT